AGATCAGATTCATTGAAACAACACAAAATACAATAGGAAAACTATTTCTTTTGTAGTTTCTGTGGTGTACCGTGCCACTAAACAAATTTTTACCATTTATTTTTTTTACTTTTTTATTTCACTTAAAAAATGCATTTTTTTATTATACAAAGTGGGCAGGGCTTGAAGTTGAGGGGATTTGTGGGGTTAAAAACACATTTCAAAAAAACTAACAAAACCGTACAACTTTCTAGAAACGTTGCTATTACGATACGTGTGAATAACACAAACAGTGGTTGATGTACCTGACAGGTTACTGATAAACGAGAAGCTACGATCTTTGTCAATGTCCGTTATCCTCATGGGTAAGGTCGACGGCTCAAATCTGGTGTAGTTGTCGAAGGCTCTCATGAAGAAGAGTAGGTTGTCACTGTGCAAGTTAACACCCAGAGAACCATTCAGCCTGCACCCGTCCGTGTCTTCATCCTGCTGCTTATTCAGATAGAAAATTTCGAAATTTTTTTCATTACAACATCTCTGCGGGCTGCCGAAGATCCACTGCTCTAATAAGTACTGGGTTTGCAGTTTCACTCTGAGTTTAGGGTAACTGCTCTCGTCTTTGTGTCGCAAGATGGCAATGATGGCAATGTCAGAGACGTCGACAGCTTCTTTAAGATGGGTTTTGCTGTTTTGGGGGTCGAGACAAAAGTGGGACACACTGATCACCACCTCCAGACACACAAACACAACCACCACAACACTTTGTAGTAGGAGCGACATGGTTCTCCACCACCCTTAGACAACATGGGAGGTAACCTGCACCCAAACAATGATGAACTTGTCAGAGGTGTTTCAGGAAGTTAAATGCTGATTACAACTTGGTAAAACATCCACTAGACTGACAGGATGACTAGGTAGGAAATATCTTATCATTTTGTTCGATCGAGACAACCACAGTACAATATCTATAAATACTGTGAAGTGATACGCACATCCTTGATAAACAAATATATATATACTGTAACATGCTCTCTCTCTCTCTCTCTCTCTCTCTCTCTCTCTCTCTCTCTCTCTCTCTCTCTCTCTCTCTCTCTCTACAGTACAGTATATGTACCTGTATATCTCTCCACACACTATCATGTACACATACACACACACTATCACAACAACTATTACTACTTCTATACTACTATCACTACAACTGTACTAATATCAAACTACAGGTATTACTACTATTACTGATCTTATGATCACAACAACAAAAACTGCTACCACTATTACTCACTGGTGAGACATGCTGAGATGCCCTGAAATTTCTCACTTGACTTTTTAAAAGCCCTAAGAATGATTGAATTATCTGTGGTATTGCCCTTCAGGAACAACAAGTACTTGGTCTGGTCCTTGAGATGAAGGGGTTGCTGTTGGGTCATCACCTCATCATCAGAGCTTACATCACCGTCAACTTGATCCATAGAATCTACTTCAGGATACGTCAGGGAATGTTGCCAGTTCGTGGAGTTCCCGGAACAAGGCTTCAAGACACTGGTGACACTGATGTTCACGTCGTATGTAAAGTTAGAGGACAAGGATGGGGACGTGATGTGGTACACCAAGCCGATGACGATGAAGGATGAGCGGTTGATGAGACGCTGATACTGCTGGATCGGGCAGCTGGTTGACTCATAATGGCTTGTCGTCTGCCCTTCTCCCATGATCTCCACCACCAACACAGAAAACCACCATACAGCTGTTAATACTTTCATGACTGATGCCTGTACAGCACTCTTATCACCATACCCTAACACACACACACACACACTCCTCTTCTGCCACCACTACACACTCTATCCTTCTCTACACACTACCACTCCTCCACTAATATACACACTCCAAAACACACTTCTCCACCATACACTCCCAACAAATTCCTACACTACACACTCCTCCATCACACAACGATTCAAACAGACGCTTCAGAGGAGAATAACAAAGTGATGCCTTTCTAAAATCAATGACTCGTGATTTATAGCGTGAAGAAGGAAGCTCGAACTGATACGGCAGTTATGTCGAAACACAAGTGACTTTAGCCATACCGAAACCTAACGCCGGAAAATTAAGATAAAAATGAGACCTCCATTGAATGAACTTCTGTCTCCATATAATCAATTAGACAGGGGTATCATATCTAACGAGTCTTCGATATAATGGACTTTTCTCTCCCTGCAGTCCATTAAACAGAGGCTTCACTTTAAAATTAAATAAACCTTAAGCAATGGTGATGTTTTTATACAAGGACACCTTTGAGCTCTAACAGGATGCATTGTCATTCCCGATACAACTTTTAAGTTTAATTCTTGTGATCATTCTACAGTAACTACTTCTAGTTTAATTTGATAGTGCTTATAGAAAAGTAAAATTAACAGTAAATTTTATCCAATCACAAGGAAAAAGATGTCATCCCTAAATTATTTATTTACAAACAAATGCAAACTTTAACAACAGTGGTAATAGTAGTAGTATCAATGATAACAATAGTACAATGATGGTATTTAATAATAATAATACAGTATAAAAAATATTAATAATAGCCTCACTCTTATATGTTATGTCACACATGTTGTAAGAGATTCATAGTAAACAAATTATCTTTTTTTTTTATTATTTATATATAATTTTTCCCCACCTTTTAACTTACTAGCTGCTGGGGTGTTAGTCAATCCAGTGTTAGTACAGGAGGAAACCGGGGACCAGGAAACCTGTAGTGAGGGTCACCACCTACACCCCCTTGGAACATTAGTTATGTAATATAGACAGATACAACTTCATTGTAGATTAGTTATGGTAACAAGTACAATATGGTGGTGTACATCAATTGCTGTACCACAACTGGTGTCATACAACAACTGGTAAGCACAAAGATGTTAGTTTACAACCTCAGCAAAACTTATAAGAGATTGTCAAGTGTCAAAGCTACAAAAATACAGATTCATTTCATCAGCACCACAGTACAGTCAGTGGCTGAGAACTTGCTTTAGTTTTTAGTTAATGTTTTAGTACACAGGTTAGTGGCAGCCTGAAGCATGTTATAATATTAGTATACAGTACATACTTGTCAGCAAAGATCTGGCATTGTGTCTCACTTGCATTAAGCTAAGTCTGGAGAAGAAGCACAGCATTAAGTCATCAACGGTGTTCTTTTCATGGTAAAAGCAAAACTATTTGGGTGCAACATGGTCAACAGTTGAAAAGTACCACAAAGAGTATTGCTAGACTGCTCTTCTTTCTACCTTATCTGTCAAGAGCCCAATTCAATTAACCAACCTACAATAATCTTGGTAGGTTTGTGTGAACTGTATGACAAATAAATGAGTTAGTAAGTACTTCTTTTTGTACAGGACTTTCTTAACAGTGACCATTTTGCAAGTCCTAGATCAAGCTCTCTGTCAAGCTGAAGAGGAAATGATAGCATCAGCTTACAGGGAAAACTTGTGGGATACTAACATTTTTGAAAAATCATATCTACCTGTTCAGTCAAGTTCAGGTACTTGGCCAAACAAATGTCTGTATCTTCATGTGTGAAATATTTTTTGAAACCCTCCCGAGGGTCCTGTGGGGGGAAGAGAGAAGTATTTAGGGTGGGGACGAGATCTTGGGGACAGCGAGGGTAAGAAAAGATAAATGGGAAGGTAGAGGAGGTACAGTGGTAGAGGATGAGGTACAGTGGTAGAGGATGAGGCACAGTGGTAGAGGAGGAGGTACAGTGGTAGAGGATGAGGTACAGTGGTAGAGGATGAGGCACAGTGGTAGAGGAGGAGGTACAGTGGTAGAGGATGAGGTACAGTGGTAGAGGAGGAGGCACAGTGGTAGAGGATGAGGCACAGTGGTAGAGGATGAGGTACAGTGGTAGAGGAGGAGGTACAGTGGTAGAGGAGGAGGTACAGTGGTAGAGGATGAGGCACAGTGGTAGAGGAGGAGGTACAGTGGTAGAGGATGAGGCACAGTGGTAGAGGTGGTGGTATAGTGAACACATGCCATCTCCCTTCTATTTTCAACTTAAATCGGAAAAACACCCGGTATTACTTCTCTCATTCAGAACAAAATAGAAGTTCATCTATTAAAAGAGAGAAAGTGCTCAAAGTTAATAATTGAATATGCTTCACAATAACACATATTAGACACACACGCACACTGTAATATATATAAACTTGCCCTGTATTATAAAGCAAAGTGAAACTATTTATTATCTTCTAAATGTATGATAATGAGCGGAAGGTTAATATATAAAGCAGATTTATCTTTTGTTATAGATCAATTATCCATTATATAGCTTAATACACCAAATGCTGAAACACGAAATAATTTTATTCAAATAATTTATATCCTAACCTAATTTAACCTAACCTAACACAACCTAACTTAATTCGGCCTAAGCTAACACAACCTAACTTAATTCAGCCTAACCTAACACAACCTAACTTAATTCAGCCTAACCTAACACAACCTAACTTAATTCAGCCTAACCTAACACAACCTAACTTAATTCAGCCTAACCTAACACAACCTAACTTAATTCGGCCTAACCTAACACAACCTAACTTAATTCAGCCTAACCTAACACAACCTAACTTAATTCAGCCTAACCTAACACAACCTAACTTAATTCAGCCTAACCTAACACAACCTAACTTAATTCAGCCTAACCTAACATAACCTAACTTAATTCAGCCTAACCTAACACAACCTAACTTAATTCAGCCTAACCTAACACAACCTAACTTAATTCAGCCTAACCTAACACAACCTAACTTAATTCAGCCTAACCTAACACAACCTAACTTAATTCAGCCTAACCTAACCCAACCTATCCCAATCCAACCTTACCTAACCTTACCCGCCGGGTGACATATCATACTTAATCTTCAGGTGAGATGTCATACTGTACTGAAGGGGGCTAATTGGGTCCCAACCAAACGTCCTACATTCATCCACAAAACAAGTAGACAGAATTGCACTGTACTTACATATTCTTCATTAGTTTGAATTTTTTCAAGGGATACTTCAACATCAGGGAAGGTAGGTTTGCATGGGATGACAAAGGGTTCATTGACAGTCAGGGGGAAAAAAAAACCATAGGCTTCGCTGACCAACAAGTGTGAAAGATCTGTAACACAAGAAGAACCATCAACTGAAGCAATAATTAGTGACATGAACCATCAACTGAAGCAATAATTAGTGACATGAACCATCAACTGAAACAATAATTAGTGATATGAACCAACAACTAAAGCAGTAATTAGTGACATGAACCATCAACTGAAGCAATAATGATCGAGTGACCTGCATCTAACCCCTCACATAGATGGTAGAGTGACCTGTAACTAACCTTGAACATAAAGATAGATGGAAGAAATCTGAGGGTCTTTGATATCACATGTCTTCTTCAGTCGGTTTGTTGTTGTATTATACAGGCAGGTGTAGTACCCGACGTGAAGATAGTTAACGGGATCAATCTGTGGGGGTGAGAGGGGTATGTGAGAGAGGAGTGAGGGTGGTGTGTGAGAGGGGTGTGAGGGAGAGGAGTAAGAGGGGTGTGTGAAAGGTGAGAGGTGAGAGGGGTGGGTGAGGTGAGAGGGGTGGGTAAGAAGTGAGAGGGGTGGGTGAGGAGTGAGAGGGGTGTGAAGGGGTTGTCACCATAGCACCATACACTAACACACACCATGGCACCATACACTAACAACTCACCATGGCACCATACACTAACACTCACCATGGCACCATACACTAACACTCACCATGGCACTACACCACACACACCATGGCACCATTGCTCAACGCTCACCATGGCACCATACATCAACATCCACCATTGCACCATACACTAACACTCACCATGGCACCATACACTAACACCCACCATGGCACTATACACTACACTCACCATGGCACCACACTAACACCCACCATGGCACCATACACTAACACTCACCATGGCACCATACACTAACACCCACCATGGCACCCATACACTAACACTCACCATGGCACCGTCAGACACTCAACACTCACCATGGCACCATACACTAACACCCACCATGGCACCACATACACCAACACCCACCATGGCACCATACACTGAACACCTCACCATGGCACCATACACTAACACTCACCATGGCACCATACACTAACACTCACCATGGCACCATACACTAACACTCACCATGGCACCATACACTAACACCCACCATGGCACCATACACTAACACTCACCATGGCACCATACACTAACACCCACCGTGAGGATAGCGACATACGGCTTGGGTTGACCTTCCTCGTACAGTTCCTGGTGGTGCTCCTGAAGGTGCAGGAGAACGAGGAAGTTATGACACCTGGTAATACTACAGTACTGTACATTATTGTTATTATTATAATAGAAAGTCATTGAAAAAATAAAGATGATGAGTAAATAACAGACAAACTTACAGACACACAAGCAATGACAGGTGGAGCTACTGAAGAGGTGAAGGAGTAGTGGTCAGAGAGAGAGAGAGAGAGAGAGAGAGAGAGAGAGAGAGAGAGAGAGAGAGAGAGAGAGAGAGGGGTAACAGTATACTGACGGAAGCGAAGTTCTTCTCGGTGCACCAAGTTACAGGATAGGCTGCCCTGCAGGTGAAGTTGACGTTCGAGCCGTCTTCAACCAACATCTCCGAGAGGCCGCCCACGATCTCAGGTGCCACCCATTGCTCATTTTCCGCTTGTGTCCAACCTATAGTAAAGGTATACATAGTTAATTATATAGATAAATATATAGTAAAATCATAATACAAATTTATCATTACTACGGCACCACCACTACTTTGCTTTCACTCGGAATTGAGTATGACGATCATCCAGCTATAATACAATGATACGAGTTATTAAAATTGTCACCTTCGTTGGTGAGCTCTAAGGTGACTCGAGACCGATATGGGACTGGCAGGGCCGTCCACAGATGTTGTACTTGTAGAGGACTACATTTAGTGTGGGAAGGGCGACCGCAGTGTCTTTCTGGCACTTGTCTGCCTCAGTATGCAATCGGGCTAACTTGAAAGTATTGACACCTCGTGTGGTGGTGCTCCAAGCGTTGCGGTGTGGAGTGATTGTCTCCCAGGTGAGGGGGTCGATTTGCCACTTTGTCAGGTATGTCTAAAGACTATCCTTATACCTTTTCAGTTGCCCACCAGCGTTACATTTATTATTCGTTAGGTAACAGTAAAGTAGCTGCTTTGGCAGTCTACTATCGTCCATGCGGGTAACATGGTCAGTCCAATGTAGTTGTTCATGGATAATGGTAGCCTCGATGCTCCTACAGTTGTTGTCAGTGAGAATGCTGGCATTTGTTCTTTCGTCTTGCCAGTGAATTCGGAGGTTGGAATGTAGACTACATTGGTGGAAGTTTTAAAGTGCCTTGAGGTGCCTCCTGATCAATATATGTGCAGCTTTGTAGATATCAGCTCCCTACAGCTGAAGACACAGGTACGGAGTCTGCCAAAGGCTTGAGATGCACATCTAAGCCGATGTTAAATCTCTTCATCAATGTTGTCCACAGTGGTGGACAGGTGGGAGCCAAGAAACTGAAAGTGGGTAACATTAAAGAGAGTAGTACCGTTACGCTGGATGGATGGATGGTGGTGTGGCTGAACCAGGGGCAGGCTGAAAGATAATCTGAATCTTACATTCACCTCAAGACCGAAGTGTGCATATGCATCTGTGTTAGTCTTCAGGACCTTCTGTAGGCTGTATCTGCGTGAGGGGTGAGGGTGTAGTTGTTTGCAAACTGAAGTTTAGTAATGGAAGCGGCTGACGCCTTTGTTTCTGCCTGGAGTCGTCATATGTTGAAAACTTCCTTAATCAAATACTGGATGTCCTCCCTGCCGGCTAAATTGACACTGGTACGAGTAAGGAAAACAGCCAAGAAAATGGAAAAAGAGAGGTTGGTGTCAGTACACATCCTTGTTTCACCCCAGTTTGGGTGGGGAAGAACTCAGACTGGATGCCATTGTGCAGGACACTGCGGTTCATGCCACCGTGAAGTTGTCTCACAATAGCGATGAATTTTGATGGGCAGCCAAAACGACTGAGGGTTTTACACTCCTGGAGAATATAGGGGGGGAGGAGGAAATCCCCCAATACCTGTATCTTAAAAACAGGTGGTCAGACTGTGGCAACTACCGAGGGCTCTCGCTGATGTTCAAAACTGGCAAGACTATACCCGAGTCCTCCTAAAAAGACTTCTTCCTGAGGCGGAAAACTTCCTCCCAGAATCTCAAATGTAGCTTTAGGCCATAATGTGACACAATGACATGATCTTTTACTGCCCACCAGATACAAGAAAAGTGCACCACCACTAACCATCCAAGGACGAACACACACACACACACACACACACACACGAGCTATGCGAGGGCAAGAAAAAGATAAGCAAATAAAGATTGTGAGGACAAAAGCCCTCTCTCACTCAATGTGTGTGTGTGTGTTGCCGGTTACTGAATCCCATAATGTGATGGTGTTTCTATGGGTTCGCGGGATAACCAACACACCTACGTGTGTATTAACAGTGAAGCCCATCTGGCACAGTGCAATAAACACTAAAAAATTAAGCGGTCTAACTTTGATGAAGTTTACCACCTTGACTACTTCATAAAATATAACTTTTAGAGGTTAGCTCTGGATTTTCTCCCAACATGCAGGAAGCTATGTCTTTCATACATAGTTTCACAAAAGATTCTGCAATTGTATGAGGTTCACAAGCCTTAGCAATGTGATAACTGACACGAGATGAAGCTTCAAGTGTATTGTTGTTGTCTTGGCAAGCAAAATTTTTCATAGAAACAATAGTTTTTTGCAACTGATCTCGCTTTCTTTTAAAATAATCACTGTTTGCCAGGCAATTGTGGGTGCTTTGTTTCCAAGTGCCTCCTCAGCCTTAAAGATAGGATGGATAGGGGTTGGGTGTAAATGGGACTGCCCAGTATAGGCCAATAGGCCCACTGCAGTTTCCTCTATTCGTATGTTCTTATGTTAGCTAATACTTGATTACATTCAACATATTGTCCATCAGGAGCATCTTCATCTCCAACAGACATGAAGCCAAAGTTTATATAGTTGTCATCAGACTTGTGTTTCTTGGATTTCCCAGTCACTGGTTTATAAGCTCTTAATGTTTTAATCACTGGAACAGACATGTGTGGTTCATCTACCTACTCTCAGTACGTGAACCCCCTTGTTGATCAGAGTGACCAGATGTCAGTCGTGGGCACGGTTCCGCTAATCCGCTAATTTGGCGAAGCTAACTTTCTCGTTAGCGGATAAGCGTTTTCGCTAACTTTGGAAACCATTAGCGGACCAATTAGCTTCCGCTAACTTTAAGTCCGCTAACAAAATTTATACATGTTTGTTCCTGTCTGTTGTAAGCATGTGCCGCCGCGACGCATGTCTCCAACAGCCAGTCAGGCACGCTTGGCTGACTGCGTGTTAGTACGAGTAAAGTTTAGAGTTTTCTGTTTATTTACATGACTAAGACCAACAATAAGTAATATAAAAATGCACTGGTATAATGTGTATGTGGTTGGTATTGCATATTTACATGAATAATGAATAAGGCCGATAGGTTGTATGAGAATGCAAAATAATTATTTGTGAAAGTGTGTACAGTGTACACCTTGATAAGTTGATCATCATCTGATCTTGGCATGATGCTATTTGCTACCTATGCTATACAGTACTATAGTTTTTGGATTCGTTTAATACTTTCTGTCTTTTCGTTTAGTAAATAAAGATTATATAGTGTATGTTGAAACTTGAATGTTTAATTTCATTTGTTCATTTAATTATTTGTGTACACCTTGATCATCATCTGATCTTGGCATGCTATACCTTTTTGGAAAGCTCTATGTCTAAGCTCCAAGACAACATATGAAAATTTCAGCTCTCTAGGTCTGTTTTTAAGGGTTTTAGAGCCCCCCCCCCCAAAAAGCTAAATTCATATAATAAAAATTAGCGGTTAGCGTTAGCTTCCGCTAATTTTTTTAGCTGTTTAGCGTTAGCGAAGTTAACTTTTTAGTTAGCAGATTAGCGGTTAGCGAAGCTAACTTTTCGTTTAGCTGTGCCCACCACTGCCAGATGTATAGTACCAGCATGATCATCATCTTGGGGTTTTGGTTTTAAAGTGCGATATTTTAAAAAAAAATTCCATCTCAAACAGCGCAACACAAGCGGTGGATGAACGTGAGTGATTAAGGCAAATGTTAACTAGTTTTAAGACTAGACCTACGGCAACACTAATTGCCGTCGCTGCATCGCGGTGACGCTGAGTCCACGAGTGATGACAACTTAGTGGAATTAAATTTTAGCGAAGTTTTATTTTGTATCCCACACACTTATAAGTAATATTGTTTTATAAAAAAAAAATATGATATTAAACAACTACACAAAACAAATACATTCGCCTTTCACAGTCACCATTTTGATAAGTTCCTGTCTGCCAATCCAGTGGATTTTAGTTTGTCAAAATTCTAAGCTTTTCAGGTCGGATGCTTGTAGTGGATACTCTCCCCTACAACTGCTCTTCCGTCCTCGCCTCAGCTAATTATCAGCGAGTTCCAGACCACAGCTTCTGCCCCCGAGTCACTCACTGATTGGCCAGTTGCCGCCCTCGCCTCAGCCAATTAGCAGCGAGTTACAGACCACAGCTTCTGCCCCTGAGTCACTCGCTGATTGGCCAGTTGCCGCCCTCGCCTCAGCCAACCAGCGGCACCTTTCATCTTACACCTCTAAATCTTGATTAGGCAGAATCGCATAAATACCCAGGAGTTCTGAGTCTAGCGTGTCTGGTTATGTTGGTGATGCTTTAGTACAGGGGTTTTCAAACTATGGGTCCCGACCCTTCAGTGGGTCGCGAAATAAATAAATTGGGTCGCGAAAATAAATAAGAAAAAAAAAATAAAATGGGTCGCGAAAATAAATAAGAAAATAAAAATAAAATGGGTCGCGAAAATAAATAAGAAAATAAAAATAAATGCACCATAATTTAGGCTTGGTTATTGTAATGTACACTCCACAGTCTAGGAAGCGACTGCAAGGAGAGCAGTGTTTGTCTTTGATTTACTCATTTCATATCATTACACTTAGGTTTAATGGGTCGCAATTCAAATTGTTGTTCTGGCTGTGGGTCGCAGTAAAAAAAGTTTGAAAAACACTGCTTTAGTATGTATGTATGTAAGCGATCTATCTTTCTTTCTATTTATCCAGTTTAAAACATTCAACATTACTTACCTGTAAATGTATTGAATTTATTTAATATTTTAAGAAATTAAAAAAAATAATCAAAATTTCATTATTACTATATTTAGTTATTTACTAATTATCAAATTTATTATTATCTTATAATCCATAAATATGCATTTTAAAGCTTGTAAAAATAATTAAAAATTTAGTTTTATACAAACTAAACTCATATGACCTTATATAAACTAATAAACACATAATCTTATACAACTATCTACATGTTAACATTTCTCAAAAAAAAAATTAACAATGTCTTAAACATTTTACATAATTCTATGAGACCAAATAAACTCTAAAAAAAAATAAGAGTAAGTTTTAATGATTCAACTGGAGGAGGATGTTGGTATTTCTGTAACAGTGTTTGTAAGTATTATCAATGGTTGACCGGATGTTTGTTGTAACCGTGTGTTGTTGATATTGGGGCCCGGTTGATGCTTTTGTTGTTGTTCTTATTATTATTATTATTATTGTTATTATTGTATCGCCTTCCCTAAAACAAAGACCTGTGATGACTCGTCTCTCTCTCAGGGTTAGTGTGTGGTAAAGGGTTATCTCCACTGTTATCTTATCTATCAAGCATGTGATTTGCCTGTTAGTGATCTTATCCGATAATGTTAAACTGATTACACTGTTAAGCCTTCAAACCCCCTGTGTGTGTGTGAGAAGGCCAGCTGTGTCCGGTATTCTAGAGAGGGAAACCCACAAGTATAATCTATAGTATGGTGGTGTACTGTTAATTAAGTCTAGTTCTGCATTCCTTCTCTCTCGCTCTCTCACTATTGTCATAATAATGTTTTAAGTTTTTTTATTCTATTAACTCCCTTATTGGAGAAAATTTTATTTTATCTCTTTTAGAATTAACAAAACGAAGCAACTTTAATATTTAACATTACCTAACTTAGCTTACTCTAACCTTAATATCTAAACTAACAACATAACCTAAGCCTTAATATCTAACCTAATCGAACCTAACTTAATTGTTCCAAGAGTTCACAACTCTCACTCCAAAAAAGTTACCCTCACATTTTCTGGGCTTGCTGCTTCTTCAACCTTGAGTTGAGACTCCTTGTGGGGCGAGCGTCCACCAGCTCCAGGTAAGGACACTCGATTGAGTAGTGCCCTTTGAGATGTTTATACACCTCAATTAGGTCCCCCTTGCCCGTCTGTAGTATAAGCTAGGCAAATTCAGGCACTCTAATCTTTTAGGGTAGCTGAGGTGCCGTAGTGCAGGCACCAGTCTGGTGGCCCTCCTTTGGACATCTGCCTTGTGGTTCCCCGCTTGTGACAGGTACACATGATGGTTTCGTACCATTATTCACCACACACTGTTTGCGGTCATGGAGAAAGTCTCCGATCCTCGATAGGACATTTCCCCGAAACCTGTACCCTTCCAGTTTAATTTTCAGCCTTTCATGGGGTACACTGTCGAAAGCCTTGGCAAAATCTAGGTATATTTTGTCGATATTATCACCCTGTTCCAGAATTTGGGTCCAAATATCCAGTACCTTGAGTAAAGGTGTTAAGCAGGAGCGCCCCGGCATAAAACCATTTTGGCAATCCTTTACAAGGTTGTTTCGTAGATGTTCCATCATGGCATCACTTATAATGCTCTCAAGTACTTTACATTCTATGCTGGTTGGGCTCCCCGGTCTATACAGTAGTTATTCGTTGAGTGACGATCGCCCTTCTTGATGATGGGACTCACATAAACCATTTTCCAATAATTGGAAATTTTTTGCTCATCCAGGCATTTACAGAACAAGATCTTCAAGGTTCAGCAAGCTCGTTGCACAACCCTCTTAGCACTATGGGATGCACCATGTCAGGTCCGGGACTCTTATGGAACTTTAGCTTTGACAGTTTATTTCTTATAACCTCTTCCGTGGTGAACACAAGTGGGTCAGTGCCGTGTCGAACCGTCAGTCCTCACACGCAGGAAGATTAATCGCATCCTCTCTTGGGCATTTTGAGGCCACTTTGAAGTCATGTGCACTTGATATTAGGAGATATTCTGAAGTCAATAGTAATTACTATACAGAAATGCCTGAGTACAATATTGCATTACAGAGAAGGTATTGGAATTTTCTGATGAAAAAGGGAGGGGGTCCGGACCCCAGGACCCCTCTCCCCTGTATCCGCCATTAAGCTCTACTTAGGAATTATTGACCAATCACACTTTACACCATTCAGGGTTTTTTTTTTTAACCACACTTCTCAAACTGATGGGTACAGAGGTTTGTTTGTTAAATTTTCCCCGTAATTGGCGAATTTAACTAAAGGAACATTCATTTAGCACGAGTATGAAGCCTAAATAGTATAATAATAATAATAATAATAATAATAATAATAATAATAATAATAATAATAATAATATAAAAGAGGAGAGGAATTCATTTAAACAGTTTTTCATTACCAAGAAATGGTGTGGCAAGCTGAACCGACGATTTACAGTATATGCTGTACAAGATACCTCGAGACTCGACGCGTACCTAACGATAAGACTACTTCCTCTTCCGTTATTATCAAATCTTTATAATTTATATTTTTTCTCAAGGAAAAATTAGAAGAATATATATTAGAGTTAGTGTACAGTAAACACAATATGACACCATGTTAGAAGTACTTGGGGATTAGTCTTGGGTTACCTGATTATTAAGACAACCTAACACTACCTGGGGGATTAGGTTAGGTTAGAGAGGAAGAGATAAGGGGAAGGTGTGGGGGAGGGGGGGGGGAGCCAGTACATAACGTTACACCTCCCAAATACACAGTGTCACACCCAGTACACAGTGTCGAGAATGTACCACAACGATACCACATGCACGTAACTTACTCCCGGGATGTACTGTGTGATAGAACACTTAGTGGGGTGTAGTGGGTTTATTGTGGAGTAATAGTAGTACAGTCAGCAGGGTGTAATACGTAGCTGTAGTAGTGATAGCAGTACAGTCAGCAGGTGTAATACGTAGTTGTAGTAGTGATAGCAGTACAGTCAGCAGGTGTAATACGTAGTTGTAGTAGTGACAGCAGTACAGTCAGCAGGGTGTAATACGTAGTTGTAGTAGTGATAGCAGTACAGTCAGCAGGTGTAATACGTAGTTGTAGTAGTGATAGCAGTACAGTCAGCAGGGTGTAATACGTAGTTGTAGTAGTGACAGCAGTACAGTCAGCAGGTGTAATACGTAGTTGTAGTAGTGATAGCAGTACGGTCAGCAGGGTGTAATACGTAGCTGTAGTAGTGATAGCAGTACAGTCAGCAGGTGTAATACGTAGTTGTAGTAGTGATAGCAGTACAGTCAGCAGGTGTAATACGTAGTTGTAGTAGTGACAGCAGTACAGTCAGCAGGGTGTAATACGTAGTTGTAGTAGTGATAGCAGTACAGTCAGCAGGTGTAATACGTAGTTGTAGTAGTGATAGCAGTACAGTCAGCAGGGTGTAATACGTAGTTGTAGTAGTGACAGCAGTACAGTCAGCAGGGTGTAATACATAGTAGTAGTAGTACACTCGGAGGCGTATAATGCGGCGTAGTAGTAGTAGCAGTGAGCTTGGAGATAACAGGACAGCGTTATCAACGTAAAACTCAGTGTAGAAGGCAGTAAGCTCTATATACCTTGGCAGTAAAGACCTTCCCACGAGACGGAGAGATAGGGAAGTCGACCTTACCAACTATGTCCTGTAAACCCCCTTTCCTCTGTTTCTCACCGCCTCCACTTTTTAAGAACATAAGAATGTTGCAAACTGCAGCAGACCTATTGGCCCATACTATAGGTAATCCCGTTTCCACCCAACCCCTATCGCTCTTATACCTGTCCAATCCTACATTTGAAGCTACCCAAAGATAGATAAAATGTCTTTTATCAGTTTTATGGGGTGACCACTAGTGATATGTATTAATTTAATGTAAACGCTTTATTGTTAGAGCGTAGTAATACATTATAACATCTTTCTCAGGTTTTAAAGGCGCTTCTAGCGTGTGTGTGTGCGCGCGTGTTTAAGTCTCGTATCTACAGTACATAACTTTCTACAATATGTAACCTTAGGCAAGGTGACTCAAGTTAGGTTAGCATTTGGTTACGTTAACTTTAGGGAAGCTAATCTTAATAAAATATGCTGAGGGAGGATGGGGAGGGACTATTGTAACAGGTGATCTCAGAACACTGTTAACTTACCTAAAAGAAGGACAGAGAAGAGTGTCCATATGAGGAAGCATCTATGCACAGTGCCCATGACGCTTGCACGTCGATGTGTCTTCAAACAACCGAGAAAACGCAGACGTTACTAGTTTGAAGTGTTCCTGTTAAAGGTCATCATGGTGTGGTTTGTTGACATCTAGCAGTGGTCCCAATACTGACCATCTACCCTACTCCTGTGGATGATAAAAATAATAATAATATTAATAATATCTTATAAGCTCAAAAAGGTATAAATTATCTCAAGTGGATATGAAGCAGTTTCCGTCACAAGTGTTACAGATAAGTTTGGATCGAAACTTCGGAGCAGTGTCTGAGAATTACTGTACAATACACACGACACCGTGATAAATGTTGCTATGGGCGGACTTAAAAGACAAGCATCATCCAAGACAAACTCCTACAAAAATATCATTACTACTATAACAGCTGATAAAATCTCAGGAACTGACGTTTCTTTCTGTAAGTTCCTAATATTATTTTGGGCTAGATAAGTTTAAGTTAGGTTATATTACGTTGTTAGCTTAGGTTAGATTAGCTTAAGTTAGGTTCGGTCTTATTTGCATCGGTTGAGGAAGTACAATGCCATACGTTTTAAAAATAATTTATACAATCTAAATTTGTACCTCCCCATTCAGAGATGCTGCACAGATCCGCACTGATAGAAGTAATGATATCAGCTCTAGAAACAGATCTAGTTTGAGAGTTAGGAAGAAGGAGAAAATGTGAAGAGTGAAGAGTAAAATCATCAGCGTAAGAATGGATAGAATTAGTTGTAGTGTGAAGTAAATCATTGATAAAAAGAAGGAAGAGAGTAGGTGAAAGAACAGAAGCCTGTGGGACACCACTATTGGTAGAGGAAGAGCGAGAGATCGATCCCTCGACAACAACTGCCATGGACTGGTTCTCAAGGAAGCTGGAGATTAGAAAACAAAGTTGGGCAGAGAAACCCACAAGACGGAAGTTTAGAAAGCAAAGACTTGTGCCATACCCTGTCAAATGCTTCGGAGATGTTAAGGGTCACGACGAAAGCTTCCCCATAATCCCTAATATCACAACATCAGATATACGTGGCATATATCAGAATCCCAGGTGGCTTTATGATAACACACCTGCGAACAGTTGAGATATAACAGTTGACGGGCGAAATGTGTCAAGTTTTTCAGTTATCAAGCAGACTCCACAATGCATGATTCACTATGCTAGGCTTCCCACATGACAGACGATAACTAAAGCATGATTTAAACTGGCGGAGGTTATAAGAGGGAGTGTTATCTGAGAGGGAGAGGTTATATGACAGGGAGAGATTATATGACAGGGAGAGATTACGTGACGGGTAAAGGTTATATGACAGGGAGGTAGTGTTTGGTATCTAAATTCAACATATCCCTTTAGCTCATTCTTTTTCAGAGATAATGTAAATCCTTCTTCATGTATCCAGATTGTTTCAACGGATAATACCAGACACTTTTATAGACAACACCAGACGCAAGACATTAGGCTTCAAACATTAGACACCAGGTACAAGACGTAAGACAATACACCAAAGACATAAGACGTAGACTCTAGACCAAAGACATAACAGGTAGACACCAGACGCCCGGCAGTGCTTCAGTTCACTACCAGTATTGTATGTGTATAGTTTGCATCGCCTTATGATTAGCCAATAAATATAACCTAACCTATACTAACACAATAGAACCTAACTTAACCTAATATTCTAACATAATAGAACCCTAACTTAACCTAACCCATTTTAACATTATATAAACTAACGTAACCTAACCACCGGTAAGTAAAAGTGACAGAGCACAGTGCCTCCCTGTGCACGGAGACTCGGGCACTGCCCCTAACACGCTATTGAGACGATACTTTGACTCCGGTTATCAGTTGTGCTCACCTGTGGCTGGCAATGTAGCCTCAAGATAAGTGTTGCTGCAACGTAAAAAAATAAAATATATATATATATATATATATATACATATATATATATATATATATATATATATATATATATATATATATATATATATATATATATATATATATATATATATATATATATATATATATATATATATATATATCTGACGTGAGTAATGAAGCTGAGTTGTAAACATTATATAATTCTGTCAGCGAATTATGACACACGGAGGCTAAGGTTATACTTCAGTGTGCAGCAGTAGTACAGCCTTGGCCACTCCACCATTTTAAAAACACGTGGTATCATTTTACTGACCGATCAGGTGGTTAGTCTGTTCTTTGTTACTTTGTAATGAATTGTATTGCCCAGTGTTATAAGAGGAGGAAGGTGTAGTACTCTGAGGAAACCTGTCATGTTTGGTAATGAGGGTCACTGGATAACACCCTCCCCACGTGCGTTACTGCCGAGTGTTATCTTGCTCAGGGGAAAATAATTTACAATTGATTTTTGCTCTGTGTGATGATTGGTGAGTTTTAGTTTATAATTTTTTGTGCAGTGGATTTTATATATAGTTAATATCAATTATTTGAGCGATTGTATCATAAGCCAATGGGATGTAGTACTTAATATTGACCTTAGAATATGTCCTAACATGCTTTACCCCTGGCTTCAAAAAGTCCCTGTAATCAGCGAATTTTCAAACTTTTCTCAGGGGGACTTACCAGTAAGTTTGGTTAAGTTACCGGTAGGTTAAGTAAGGTTAGGGTAGTAGTAAGGCAGTGTGGTAGTGCCTTATGGTGGTAGTAAGGCAGTATGGTAGTGCCTTATGGTGGTAGTAAGGCAGTGCGGTGGTAGTGGTGACTCAGGGTATAGGGCAGAGTGCACACGTCCTGGTGTGCGACCACGATCCACCTGCTGCTGCTGGTCACCAACTATATAGTCTAGTCTAGTCCAGCCCAGCCTAACCCAGCCTAGCCTAACCCAGCCTAGCCTAACCCAACCCAGCCTAACCCATCCCAGACCAGCCTAACCCAACCAACCCCAGCCAAACGTAGCCCAGCCTAACCCAACCCAGCCAAGACGAACCTCACCCAGCCAAGCTTAACTTAAGCTAATCTAGCTCAGCCTAATCCAGCTCAGCTCAACCTAGCCTAATAACCCAGTAAAGCCTAACTTACGATGTTTCGTTTCGAAAACATTTCAACCCAAGACATTTCGATTTTACACATTTCAACCCAAGACGTTTGTTTCATAACCATATCCTAAGAGGAAGGGAGTTGGTTACAGACGTACTGTACTCGTGACAGCTGTAACCATGAGTCAGGGATTACATCTTGTTACAAAAGGTCAACGGGAAATAAAATCTACATTATCTTATTCTTATCTCTAAAACTTCCCATGTGAGTCTACACAACGTCTCGACCAACAGTCTTATTATAATACAAACTTTTACACGATATCCACGTAAACATGTAAGGCAGTGTGTATACATTCTTCTGAGAGACTCGTGTATCCAAAACATTACTGTAGGTTTTGATGGTTGAGTGTGTGTGTGTGTGTGTGTGAAAGGGTGCACACGACCCACTGCTGCTCACACGACTCTTCTAACACCGACACAGGAAACTGCCTTCATTACATGTCTTCTGGTACTGTACACGGGAAGTTGGGGAGCGGCGTCGGTTTGCGTCAAGAGTGTAAGATAAACATCTTCAGTTTTCATAATGAAGTTTTAAAATAGGAAAGATCACTAATTTTATCATCACCCGGTGCCTGTCTGACTGGAATTTGACTAATAATTAATTTGATAAAACTTTATCATGTCCCAATTATATTTTAAACTTGGTTAATTTGGTTAAGTCAGGTTACTGTATTGTCTAATGGTAGATCCTGCTGCCACATGGCATCACGAAAATTGTGACCAAGTCCCAGGTTGCTGATCTGACTTTCTGCCTCATTTACACACAATTGCAGGGTCTCAATTGTTTCTCTTACTATTGACAACACAACATACATATATTGTTTCTCACTTTTGATCGTTTTTTTTTGTATTTCTTTATGGTTCTTTATTATTATTATTATTATTATTATTATTATTATTATTATTATTATTATTATTATTATTATTATTAGTGTTATTATTATTATTATAATTTTATTGTTTTATTTTATTTTTTATTTCTGATTATAAAATTTATTTACAATGAATTAATTATTATTATTATTATTATTATTATTGTTATTATTATTATTATTATTATTATTATTATTATTCTTATTATTATTATTATTATATTTTCGCCTCCCAGGCCCCAATGTGGGTCAGTGACCTGTGCCCGGGTGGGCTAATCCCTGAAGAAAAAAAAAGTGAAAACATTAAAGCAAGATGGATTAAACCTCTTTTTGCTTAATATATTTTCACTGTGGGTTTGTAAATATCTTTGGGAGTTATGTGGGCACTATGTGATCAATATTATTTCTGTATATCAATCTTGGCCTTTATATTCCATATTTGATAACTAGCTGACAAAGTGTAGATATTAATATACAGCAACGTTAATTTTTCCGCTTTAATGATAACAACAGATAACACGTCAACACAACTCTAGCCTGGGATTGAGGACGCTAACTCAAGCTATAACTCCAATAAAGATGATAATTCAAGTTATAATCCTCAAGGGCTTCAACTACAAATTCTTCTCAAGGCGTTAAAAGGTTTTGTTGATCCAGTACTGTGTAGCCTAGTGAAACAAAAATCTGTACAGAATACAAGATATAACATCTGCGGTAGAAACTTCATCCGTTTACCTTCCATAACTGGTACTGCACTGTATGTATATTCTGTATTTCCTTATCTCCACAACGTCCTCCTACATACCTGCACGTCTCCTAACGTCTCCACACACGCTCTCCTACACTGCTTCGCCCTCCTACCATCACCCTCGCTTGGTGGGGGGGACTACTGTAATGGTCTCAAATCCGTTTCTTTAAGTGACTGGCAAGGAATCGATGGTATACGGGGCAAAGTTCTAATGGGTCCAAGTCTTATTGCGCCTTAGTTTTAATGGGACCAAGTTCTAATGACACTCAGGCTACTTTAACTAAATATTTTAAATTAGCAACAAATTTTCTTAGTTTACTATTGCTTGTATACCTACACTAAGTACACTGTATACCTGCGTTGTCGATGTACAGTGCATGCTAAATCTATTGTAAACGACGATTTTACTGAATAATTATCTATCTATCTATCTG